ATTGGGTCAGTGCTAGGACCACAAAGTTTTTTTTTGGGTTACGTTTAAATGCCTTACTCTGGAACACAGGCCAAATTTTCAAAATGTGACAATAAGACCAAACTTGGAGGTGTAGCAATCAGTGAGGATGATTAAAATCTCCTGCAACACTAACACAGTTACGACAGCAGAAAGGTCAGATGAGTTGACAGATAAGAGAGAATTAGAAATAGATTTTATTGTCACGTGTACTCAAATGCAGAAGTATATGAGTGCATTGAAGAGCGTACAATATTGCCATTCCTGGCACCATCTCAGTTACAAACGTACCTAGGTACTAAATCGAAAAATAAAGAAACAAAATTAAAAGTTAAACATTACTGTCCTTCTCAGTATTAAGTAGGAAAATAAATAAATAAAGTTAAAAATTCAACAAAATAAAAACCTAAAGAACTGCAGATGCTGTAAATCAGAAACAATAACAGAAGTTGCTGGTAAAGCTCAGCAGGTCTTGCAGCATCTATGAAGATAAGGATCAGAGTGAACGTTTCAGGTCCAGTGACCCTTCCTCAGAACTGCGTGTTAAAAATTCAACAGCCTTTCTTAGTCACACTCCCTACAAATCACTACAAACAAACTCCCTACAAACACGCCCTCGAAATCCTCCACATTAGCCTGGTCTCCAGGGGCTGCCCACTCTTGCCACCTTCAGATGCCAGGGGAAAATCTCTCGCCACCGATCACAGCGTGATTGAACAGAGTGAGACATACAAGGTTACGGCTGCACAGGAGGTGTACAAAAGCAAGGCCAACATTAGATTTGAAATTCGAGATCCATTCAGTGATCTAATAACAGCAGGGAAGAAGCCAGGGGGACATCTCTCGCCACCATGTTAGGCTCGCTGATCCCTACAATTGCTCAATCTCCCATGCACTGGGCTAGGTCTCCTCCGCGCTCCGCAATCTTGCTCTCCACAGAAGGTAAAGCAGATCAAAGTAAGAAAAGTGAAAGAAGGGAAAAAAAAGTAAAAGCCAATGAAACTCCAGGAAGAAGCCCTCACGCTGCGCTGCTACCCTGCCTCCATCTTGAGAATTTCTCAATTGGCAATTGACATATCCATAAGGGCCCTCACTAACTTTCATTGATGCATCATAGAAAGTATTCTATCTGGATGCATTAAGGCTTGGTACGGCAACTGCTCTGCCCAGGACCGTAAGAAACTACAGAGAGTTGTGAACACAGCCCAGACCATTATGCAATCCAACCTCCCATCCATTGACTCCATCTACACTTCTCGTTGCCGTGGAAAAGCGGCCTACATTATTAAAGACCCCTCCCAACCCCGGTTATAATCTCTTCCAATCTCTTCTGTCAGGCAGAAGATACAAAAGCTTAAACACATGCGCCAACAGGTTCATGAACAGCTTCTTTCCTGCTGTTATTAGATCGCTGAATGGATCTCGATTTCAAATCTAATGTTGGCCTTGCTTTTGTACACCTCCTGTGCAGCCATAACCTTGCATGTCTCACTCTGTTCAATCACCCTGTGATCTGTATATCCTTGTATATTATAATCTGCCTGTACTGCTCGCAAAACAGAACTTTTCGCTGTACATGTGACAACAAAAAATAAAATCTAATCAAATCAGAAATCAAAATTAAATCTGAATTTAATACTCTAGGACTCTATCTGATGTATTTTGGGAAAAGGGACAAAAGATGCAATATAGACTTAATGGCAGCATTCTAAAAAGTGTACAGGCACTTGGGGATTTATGCATACAGGCCTTTGAGAGTAAGGTGAGCATATTGGACCTTAGGCTTCATAAAGACACTAAGCACCAAAGCAGGAAACTATTCTGAAATACACAAACACCTGGTTAGGCTGCAACCTGGAGTTTTGCATCCAGTTCTGGTCAACTCATTTTTGGAAGGATATGAGGGTGCTTGATTTGAGCAGTTTTTGAATTCATCTGTGGGAGATGGGTCTCAGTGGCTGGGTCAGAATTTATCCCAATGTCGAGCTGCCTCTTTGAACCACAACAGTCCTTGTGCTATAGGTACAGCCACAATGGAGGGTGGGAGTTTGATAAAGGTAAAAGCTTATAGGATCCAGGATACCTCAGCAAGTTGGATCCAAGATTGGCTTAGAGACAGAAGACAGAGGGTGGTGACAGAAGGCTGTGTGACTGAAGCCCAGTGTGCCAGGGTATACCACAGGGATTAGTGCTCTGTCCATTATTGTGATAATATCTGTGATATTCATGAATGATATAGACGAGAATGTGGGTAGGCAGGGTGTGGAATGATAAGTAAATTTGCAGATAACACAAAGATTGGCCAGGTAGTTGACAACAAGGTGGAAAGTGCTAGGCTACAGGATATAAATAGTTTGGTCAGAAAGACAAAACATTGGCAGATGGAATTTAACCCTGATTAATGCGAGGTGATGCATTTTATAAAGGAGGAACAAGACAAAGGAGTACTCAACAAATGGTAATTCACTAGGAAGCTCAGAATAGAGGAATCTGGGATGCTTGTCTATCAATCCTTGAAGATAGCAGGACAGGTTGATACGGTAGTTCAGAAGGCATTCGGGATACTTGTCATTATTAGTTGTGGTATAGTTATAGCAGCAGGTAGGTCATGTTGGAACAGTCCAGGACTTTGGTTAGGCCTCAGCTGGAGTGCTCTGTGCAGTTTTGGTCACTGCACTACAGGAAGGATGTGATAGCATGGAGACGGTGTGAAGAAGATTTACCAGGTTGTTGCCAGGGATGGAGGAGTTCATCTATGAAGAGAGGCTGGATAAGCTCAGGTTGTTTTCTTCAGAGCAGAGAAGGGGGAACCTAATTGAAGTGTGTAAGAATATAAGGGACATGGACAGGGTGAATAGAAAGCAGCTGTTCCCCTTAATCGAAGGGACAATAACAATTTTACAATGAAAAGCAGGTGGTTTTTGCAAGGAGTGCAGGGATATGGATCCAGGGCAGGCAGAAGGGATTAGTTTAATTAGGTGTCATGTTCGGCACAACATCGTTCCTGTGCTTTTACTGTTCTACGTTTTATGGTTTAAGAGGAGATTTGAGGAAGCTTCTTTCACTCAGATTGGTGGGGATCTGGAATACGCTGCCTGGGAAGGTAGCAAACATGGAAAACCTCACAACCCTTTAGGAGAAAAGTGTGTGCAAGAATACCTGATAGCATCATAATGTTCAAGGCTATAGGCCTAATAAAGGAAAGGGAGACTACTGTAGGTAGCAGCATATCTTTGACAGCACAAACTGAATGGGCCAAAGGGGCTTTTCTGTACTGTACGATTCTGAGGACTCTGGAGAAGGCGGAGATGGACCATCCACTCAGCATTTCTGTATGAAGATCATTGCAAATACTTCAGCCTGACATTTTGCATCGAGGTGCTGGACTCTTCCATCGAGGACGGGGATATTTGTGAGTTGTTTAATTGTCCACCATCATTCACAACTGGATGTGACAGACTGCAGAGTTTCGATCTGATCCTTTGGTTGCAGGATCACTTTGCTCTATCACTTGCTTCTAATGCACACAAGTCGTCCTGTGGTAGCTTCACCAGGTTGACACCCATTTTTAGGTCTGTCTGGTGCTGCTCCTGCACTCTCTGTTGATTCCCCCGACTTGATGGTAACAGTAGGATAAGAGTTACACCCAGCAGAGAGGTTACAGATTGTGTTGGGGTACAAATCTGCTGATGACCAGTCTTGAGTTAATAGATTTGTTCACTTTCTCCCATTTAGCATGGTGAGAGTGCTACAAAACAACGTGAAGATGGACTTTGTGTTCGTAATGGCTGTGTAGTCCTCATTCCTGCATACCGTAATGGATAGATTATTGAAGATGAGGTCCAATTTAGTGTTTCCCTCACCACCTATCCTGGACAGGGTCTCCCAGCTACGTTCTTTACAGCCCGACCAGCTCGGTCAGTAGCTGCTACTGAGCCACTCTTGGTGGTGGGATGTTTTAAGTTCCCCACCTTAAGTGTATCCTGTCCTCGCCACCCTCAGTGTTTCCTCCAATATTGTCGAACATGGAACAGTACTGAGTCACCAACAGAGGGAGGACAGTATGTGGTAATCAATAGGAGGTTTCCTTGCCTGTGTTTGACCCGATGTCATGAGGCCTCACTGTGTCCAGAATTAATGTTGAGGGCTCCCAGGAGAACTGCCTCCTGACTATATATTACACTGGGTCTATACTGCCAGTGGGACAGGTAACACCTAGGGGTGGTGTTGTTGCAACATTGCATATAGCCTATGGTTCTGATTTTATGTCAGTGAGTCAGCTCTCCCAATGTTCAGCACTACCAGAGCTACAGGGATCGAACAAGGGAGCCAGACTGTCTCCGTTACATTACAGAGTAACAGGCCTCTTGTTTCCAGAGGGAATCATGGGGTTTCTATTGGCATGGCGAAGGATTTTTGAGACTGGTGGGCACTACAGAGCCCGAGGTACATCATCATCCTGGAGAACGTGATGTTGATTTCAGTTTCCATTACTGCACACTGCTTCTGTTATATTGCACCACTGGGGGCTGTTTAACCTAGGCAATACAACCTTCACTCAGCCCCCTCCTTCTCCCTCACCCCAGGGTTAATCTCCTACCCCCTCACTCTGGGGTAAATTTCCTGCCCTCTCCCTCACCCCAGGGTAAATCTTTCCCTCAACTCCAGAGTAATCCACCCTTCTTTCTCTCTAATGTTGGGGTAATCTCCCTCACCTTAACCCCAGAGTAATCTCCTCCCCCTTCTCTCAACCAGGGGTAGTCTTCCCCCCTCCTTCTAACACTGGGGTAATTCCCCCCACCTCAACACTGGGGTAATGCCCCCCACCCACCCCATTGCTGGGGTAATCTCCCCCCCCTTCTCTCTAACCACGGTGTAATCTCCAGGCCCCTCCCCCAAACTCAGAGTAATCTCCCAACCCCCAACCCCCAACCCCCAACCCCAGCGTAATTTGCCCAAACCTCCCCCCCCGCCCCGGACTCCAACCACCAGGTAATTCCCCCATACTCTAAAACCACAGTAATATTCACACTCTGATCACAGATAATTGCACAAATCTCTCCAATCCTGCATAATCTCTCCCCTCTCTCTCTCTCTGTCTACTGTCTGTTGGGGTCAAGTTTCAGTTGGGGGACACCTTTTAATTGCTGTAAACGCCTTTATTTCTGCTATAACACTGATCATTTTCGCAAACAGGACAGACCAAAAACCATAAGAATTTATAACAAATTTTAAAATCGAGCACAGAAGGCATCTGGACATCTTCCAGCATCAGTACAAGCTCCAATGGTGAAGAAACCACTTCCTCAAGACCTGCCAAATCTTAGGGCCCTACGGCAGGGGATCAGGGGTTAATCCTCTGCCCTCCCGAGAGGAGTCAGCAGATCAGTGGGTCAGCCCCGGCCTCGTGGGAGGAGGTCAATGGGTCACGGCTGGGCTCCAGGAGGTCAGCGTTGGGCTCTCTGGGAGAGGTAAAAGGTCAGCGATTGACTCTCAGGAGAATGTAGTTGTGATCGGGGTCAGTGGTGGACAGAGGTCAGTGTTGGGCCCTCTGGAAGTCAGGACTCAGGGCTCGGCTGGACACGGCTCAGTGTTGGGTCATTGGTAGGAAGTCAAAGGGTCAGCACTGAGCTGGACAGAGGTCACTGTTGGGTCCTCAGGATGAGGTCAGTGCAGGGCTCTGGGCCCTTAGGAGGAGGTTGGGGGTCAGCGCTGGGTTGGACAGGGATCAGTGTTGGGTCACTGGTAGGAGGTTGGGGGTCAGCGCTGGGTTGGGTCACTGGCAGGAGGTCGGGGGTCAGCGCTGGGTTGGACAACGGTTAGTGTTGGGTCACTGGCAGGAGGTCGGGGGTCAGCGCTGGGTTGGACAGGGATCAGTGTTGGGTCACTGGCAGGAGGTCGGGGGTCAGCGCTGGGTTGAACAGGGGTCAGTGTTGGGTAACTGGCAGGAGGTCGGGGGTCAGCGCTGGGTTGGACAGGGGTCAGTGTTGGGTAACTGGCAGGAGGTCGGGGGTCAGAGGTGGGCTGGACAGGGGTCTGTGTTGGGTAACTGGCAGGAGGTCGGGGGTCAGCGCTGGGTTGGGCTGCTGTAGACAACGAGCCTGGTGCGGATGTTCCCAGATCAGCAGTGGGACCCTGAGAGGCTGTAGGTGCCTCACTTCTGACCAACAGCTTTACAGGGAGGCGGAAGGGGTTCAAAGGGCACGGCATGGGCCAATCAGATTCCAGAGCTGGCACAGCAGCTTTGCTAACCGTAGACTTTGACTGGCCGGGCTGAACTGTGTGGGGACTCTGCAATTGGTGGGTCTGGGCTGCAGGGAGGAGTTGAGCAAGGTGTGCAGGCAGGACGTTATGTCCTGAGGCCTGGACCTGCCCTGTTAGAATGACACTGGCCTGCGCAGATGGGGGACCTGTCTGAACTGGGCGAGCAGGTTGCGAGGGTCCCTGATCATGCCAGCTTGAAGCAGTCTGGGTCAGCTGGCTGTAGGTGGCGTTCATGTGGCTCCACAGTTCCTGGCAGTTCAGAACTTGTATCTGGTCTGGGAGAGACATCAGCAGGTCGAGGATAACTGCAGATTCTAGGGGAGAAGGAAGAGGGTCAGTCGAGGCACATCTCATGTGCGACAACATAGGAACAGGAGTAGGCCATTCAGCCCCTCAGGCCTGTTCTACTATTCAATGAGATCATGGCTATTCTGTGGCCTAACTCCATATACCTACTTTTGGCCTGTATCTCTTAATACCTTAGCTTAACGAGAATTTATCTATCTTAGATTTAAAATTAACAAGGGATCCAGCATGCACTGCTGTGTGTGGAAGAAAGTTCCAAATATCTACAATCCTATTAGGAGAGGTTGGGACTTTTTTTCCCTGGAGCATAGGAGACTGAGGAGTGACCTCAGAGGGCTATAAAATCATGAGAGGCATAGATAAGGTAGACAGCAGACAGCTTTTCCCCAGGGTAGGGGAGTCTAAAACTAGAGGGCATAGGTTTAAGGCGAGAGGGGAGAGATACAAAAGGGTCCTGAGGGGCAATTTTTTTTTCACACAGCGGGTAGTGAGTCTCTGGGATGTCAGAGGTAATGGTGGAAACGAGTACAACTTTGTCATTTAAGAAACATTTCGGCAAGTACACAGACAGGATACATATGGAGGAATATGGTCCAAACACAGGTACGTGGGACTAGACTAATTGTAAAAACCAGCCAGCATGGGCAAATTGGGCCGAAGGGCCTGGTTCTGTGTTGTGTACCTCAATGGCTCTGGTAAATGGTCTGGCCCTAATTTTCAGATGATATCCCCTAATTCTAGAATCCCCAACCAGTGGAAACAGTTTATTTTTACCTGCTCTATCTTTTTCTGTTATTACCTTGAAGACTTGGATACATCACCTGTTAACTTTCTAAATTCCAGCGAAAACAGGCCTAATTTGCACAATCGATCCTCAAAATCCATCCCTGAATGACATCCAGGTGTCATTCTTAGACACAGACAACAAAACATTGAACGTTTGAGAAGTTAGATGCATTTCGCAGGATGAAAGGGATCAAAGCATGTGGGAAAGAAAGCGAGAACAGGGTACTGAGTTGATGATCAGCCATAATCACACAGAGTGGGGCAGCAGACCAAAAGGGCTGAATAGCCTACTCCTCTTCCCTATTCTCTTTGTTTCTACTAAGAGGGTTGTTCAAACGTGACAGGGGAGATAGAGGAGAGCTAGTGCTGGGTGATACATACCGGTAGGGTGGTGGGGTGCAGGGAGACGGGGTCGTGAAAGGTCGAGAGAGGAACAAGGTTCAAGAGGGAATTCTCGGGATCGACATGGTCTCGCTCGGGGTGGGAGGAGGGTGGGTCGGGAAGGCAATTGAGGTCACGGGAGGGTTGGCAAGTGGGTGTGAAGAAACATACAGCAAGAGAGAGGAGGGGACAGAAGCAGCGTGTGAAAGATGGGGTCAAGAGAGGCAGGGCCGAGGAAACGGAGTGAGGGGTGGGTATGGAGAAGAAGGTAGAGATGGGCTGGAGGGGAGGGAGAGGGATGGGGTAGCGGGAGTGGGGGGCGAGAGCATAAGGAGCGAAGTAGGGAGACAAGTGCGAGGGGGAGGGACAGAAAAAGAGAGAAACACCATCCTCCATTAGATAAACTGTACATTTCATAAACACGACTGGCAGCTCAAATGTCAGACAGCATCAGACTGCATTATCATTGTTTTAACTCCTGATGAATGAAAGGCATCCAAGAGGCTGGGAGGGGGTCTGGGGTAGGGCTGTGGAAAGGGGGACGGGACAATTGGGTAGGGGTTTGTTAGTGCAGCCGGGGTGGGGGAGAAGGGTGATCATGTCTCCATGAGCAGGCTCGAAGGGTCGAATGGCCCACTCCTGCTCCTATTTTCTACGTTTCTATGGCAGAGGAGAGGGCTGGGTGTGATGGGGATGTGTGTATGCACATTTATAATCAGTCAGTACAGAAAACCCTGCCTCACCCTCTCTTCGGGCAATGAACAACTTCACACTGGCTCACATCTGCCACCTGCTGGTGAGCCCATGCCAGATTAAGCGTTCCGTACCTCAGTTGTCCCAGATTTCCCTTCCCAGTTAGCAACTGTGATCCCACGCTCCCTCAACCCAACACTGGTCAGTTTTCAATGGTTTGCTGACTTGGCAGCACGGGTTATACACAGACAGTACCTGCTGCACTCCCCATCCTGACCCAGGAATATATCGCCATTCCTTCAATGTCGCTGAGTCAAAACCCTGCAACTCCTCTCTCTGTGTGGCACACAGACTGGAGTGGTTCAAGAGGGCAGCTCACCACCACCTTCTCCAGGGCAATTTGGGATGGACGATAATACTGGCTTGGCCAGTGAAACCCAGATCTGCCGATGGTTAGCAAGAAAAGAAAATATAGAAGAGGACATTCCACCCTGTCAATCTCCTGGAACTACTGCTGTTTGTTCCCATCTCCTGCTGTTAGCTCCAGATACTCTCCTTTTGTTGAGTAAGAGGTCCATTTTCTTTCAGAGTTACAATTAAACCCAGTTCGCACGGAGCCTCCCTCTCAGAGGGCAGTGAGGGATGAAGGCAACATGGGATTGGCAGGATCTTCCTGACTGGTGGGGCAGTCCCGCAGGGTTGAATGGTCTATGATTGGCTTCTCCTTATTCCATTTCAACATCTCAAAGCCTGGTCAGATAGGCACAGGCTGATTCCAATACTCACCGAAGGGCGAGAGCTGTGGCAACGTTGAGCCCCTCGCAGTCGCCGACAAATACTTGTAGATTTTCGCAAAGTCTATGGGTGCGTCCGGGGCCTGGCTTTCCCCTGCTGATGGGGCACTGCCCTCGGTCACGGGGATCACAGAAGGCGGTGCGCTAGACACCAAGTCGGGGCGGGAATCTCCAGGTAACGTTCCGTCTCCCGAAGCTTGCGATGTCGGATCAGTTGGTGCTGCCCGGGATGCCCTGCACCTGGGTTCAGTGGCTGCAATCATCAGGGTCTGTGAACAGACAGCAGAGTTATTGTAATAAGGGACGGGCACAGCGAACATCTCCATGGAGCCTCACTGCATGAGGGTATATGATGGCATATCAGTCTAGTGATAGGAATGCTGGGATAGGGGTGGTGGTTCGAATCACGCCGTACTGTGTATTTGAGTAAAGTACCTGGAATTACTGTCAGTGACAGTGACCACAAAACCACTTTAGTAAACCACTTCCTAAAACTACAAGGTCACTGTTGCAAGGCAAGGGAGTTAGCCACTTGGCACAGAAATGAGGGGCAGGGGAAGTGAGGGGGAAGAAGGGACAGAAAGAAGGGACAGAAAGAAGAGGCAGGGCAGAAGGGAGGAGGGAAGGGCAGAAGGGAGGAGGGAAAGCGAGGGCAGGGGCGGAGAGGAGAGGATAATAAGGTGGTGGGTGTGGTGTGGAAGAAGTGGGGCTGGGAGAACAGGAGGGGAGGATGTTTGAGGCCAAACCATGCAGTTGGTCGGGGGGGGGGGGGGGGGGGGGGGGGGGGGGGGGGGGG